GTCAGGAAAAACTTCCATCAACTTTATCAAGAGCTTTCCCTATGCCACAACTCCAAGATTGGGCCTATATTACAAGTAACTTTTAATATACTTTCTAACTTTACCTGGGGTTTCAGTTCAGAACAAAATGTGTCAGGTAAACCTTATTTCCCCCGCACCCTTCAAAAAAAAAAAAAAAAAAAAAAAAATCAGTAAGAACAGTAAAAATAGTGAAAGACTTGAACATTTGCTTAAATGTAATATAATAAAAAATCTCAATAAATGCTTAAAAGAAATGTAAGTTAATAGTCCATTACTGAAGATAAAGAAGTAGGCCAGAAACTTAGTCAAAAGAAACAGTCAACAATTAATGACATGCTCTCTCACCAAATGAAGATATATCACATTTCTGTTTATATACACCTATTAACTGCATGGTTATATTTGTGGCTAAAACAAATCGGGACTTATCTAGAGTATTTAAAATCCCTTTCCATGTGCTAGAAAATTTCACCTAATGCTGAGGGTAGGACATACATAATAAATGCAAATTTCTACATTTTCAGTCAGATGGGATTTTGCCATATAAATTGAATTAATTTCTTGAGGAAATGTCTGTGTATATAGGGGTGGGGATGAAAAGCAAGAATACTATGTATAGCTCCAAAACTGATGGGGAAAGTTTTGATTTTAAAAGCATATTTCAAAGAAAGGGAGAGAAAAACTGCATTGTTTCAAGAAGGTTTCTAAGCTATAAAACTATTTCCAATTACTTTGCTTAATGTTTATTTCTAGCACTTCAATTATAAAAATTAGAACAAAGTTGGCTTGCTCCTGCCAAAGAAATCTATTTAAAATTGTACATCTGCTAGTTAAGAATCATCAATTTTCAAGCCAGAAAGGCCTATATCAAACCGAAGGTGAGAGCTGCCTAAAAAACTGATGGACAGATCAGGAATGGCCCAATACAGATAACAAAAAAACATGATAAAGGATGTGTCTACACGTGCTTTTATGCACACCTAACCTTAATGGGCATTTATACACATACTTTTTTGTCCCACAATGTGCTGGAGATCCGGTGGGTTGGACCAGACTCGATTAATCAAGTCTACTCCACATGTGAGCTGATGCACACTGAGCTGCATTGTGTGCAGTTGTATAAGCAGTGAAACACTCTTGTATAAGTGGTCAGCACACAAAAAATGGTGGCGGTGCACTTTTAAACTAAAACCCCTTTGTGCTCCTCTGCCATTTTCTCAGTACTGATGCACATTTTCCTTTGTGCACCGCTGCCATTTTCTCAGTACTGATGCACATTTTGCTACTTATACAAGTACATGCGTCACAGCGCTGGACACATTTAAAAGCAGCCAGTGCTGTGGCAGAAGCATGTGTACAAATGCTCAATGTGCATTACCCTAATGTACATTAAGGTGATTTAGGGGCATGTCCACACATGCACGCACTAATGCAGGTTCACGGACCAATTTGGGTTAGTCCCAATTTAATCCTAAATCTAATCTAAATTTAGTCTCATGTCAATGGACAAACACCACATTAACGCACATTAGCACGTCTACATGTTTGCTAATGCAATTTAACTATTTGCACATTAATCTGATACCTACTTTATGCAGGTATCAAATTTAGGCTCAAATAGCCTTAAATCGCCATTTTTAAGGCACATTAATGGCATGCACATGTAGACATGCACCCTTAATGCGCCTTAAACTGGGCTAATGCGCATTAAATATGTACATGTAGACATGCCGAAAACTCCATTTATCAGATGTCTTAAAAGAAAGAAATCTCTACATAAACTTTGACAGTTATCTATTATACATTAACAAAAATTCCTGCAAGAAAAAAAATGTTTCCCCACTTCTTCCAGAAATAAGGTATTTTATATTTATATGGGCCCTCAGTCTGCCTTCATGAGAACACTAATTTTTGCCATAAAGCAATGAACTAATTCCTTTTGCAATGTCTTATGACAAACGAACTGATTCTGACTGATTAGAGAGTCTTTTTTCTTATCCCTTGAAGTGTAATCAGTTTCAACATTTCCTTTTTATTTTCTCTGCCATCAGGACGCTCTTAGCTGATGTGTTGCAAGTGAACACTCTCTTCATTTAAGGATGGATATGAATCCAGCATCTGCTTCTCATAAGCACTTCGTTTGGTGAAGTTAATCTGCTGACTTCAACTGTAACGGTTTGTCATGTGAAAGGTTCTTTCTGTCCTTCAAGTTTTAGAATATATAAGCAAACATCACTCCAGTTCTTACTTTATTTTTTTTTTTCCCACTCATTTGTTAGGAAAGGGTCAGTTTAGTAGCTAGTGAAATCCAATTTACTGGAGGACAGGGCGGGAGAAATAAAAACTTTTGTCTTTTTAAGTCAATTGATTGGGTGTGTTTACTGTTATATACAACAACAGGTTTTATTGGCACTTATCTCCCTGAGCTTGTGGAGCACCCAAAGTGTTTTAGACTTATTGTCAGGTTTAGCAGTGGAAACTGGCTGTATAAAAGTCCTTCATGTGGGAAGTAAAAGGTGACAGATTCATAATATATTCATTCCTTCTACTCACTAACCTGAAACCGTAAGGAAAGCTTCTTTCAAAAGCTTCGTAATTCAGTCCTACTGCATTTTAAGTCATTGGGAGTTCTACCTTGAAAAAGAGAAGCAGGTCCTTTTATTATTTATGTTTATAAAAGAAGGAGGCAATGAATTTGGCCACTATTGCTAGAGATAAGTGAACCCCTTTTGATAAAGTCAAGATGTTTGAGAAGCTTTGTTTTGTTCCTCCACCTTCAAATCACCTTCCAAATCCAGAAAGTTACCAAGATTCTTCCTTTTTTTCTTGGGATATTTTGTCTCTTCCCCTTTCAGACACAGCCAAATTCAAGGGAAAATGTTTTTGTGTCCCCCTCCACTCCCACCCCAAGATTTCTGACATGCTTGAGAACCTGCCCTTGCAGTAACTAAGTCTTTGGGGCTTACACTAACTTCATCCCTCTAAGGATCTCCCTTCTGAGTAAGCAAGAAACCAGTTTTGCACCAGCATTGCTTATAGGAAGGTAATGGGAGTGAAATTCAGTCTTAGAAAGAATGGTAAAGGTCATGTAACTGGGGGCTCAGAATGTAAAGGCTAAGGCCCAGATTCTTAAAAGGTATTTAACCATAGCTGCACTCAGCATTGCAATATCTAAGTACCTTTAAAACTCTGCTCTTAAGGTCCCAGACTATTAAAACATGTCCTTCAGGGTCTTGTTGAAGTGAAGCTCATTCTTGAGGTTCTTCATACCACCAGTTCCAACTTTTTCCATAAAAATGAAGCATGCTCAGCACTCCAAACTGAGTGTTTTCCAACTATCGACACCACAGTAAAGATGTTCACTACTCTAAAACCAACAGTGTTTATAACAGTGCAGTTATATTTCTTCTTTGTTTTTTATCTTCTGGATGTTTTGGTTGGAAATGGTGGCAAGAAAATTATATTATCTTATAGGAATATTTTGAAAAAGGGTAAAGAGATGTACATTCCTAAAGGTGCACTGAACAAATTATGATATTTTAAACAATTATGTTAATAGTTTTGACCTTGGTCCCACAATAGGCATCACATAAATGCTCCACTAAAAATAATGGAGTTTTGCTTAGAGGTTATACTGAGTTCACTGTAGGATTGGGGTTTCAATGAGCAATCCTTCAGCATTTTGTTAGGAAGTTACACCGCTTCATTGGACTCCACACATGTAGGCAAGCTGCTGGATACGGCTCTTCCTTACCGTGGCTCCATTATGAGGTCCTGCACATCTCGCTTAGCGCCCTGGCCAAAATTATGAAAATGGGTTCAAAATCTAAAATTCTCAACTGGACAGCTGCAAGGTCTGACTCTTGTTAATGTTAGTGATTCCACAAGAAATCTATGACAGCTGCAGGTGATCAGCACCTCACAGAAGACCTAGCAAGTCTCAGGTTGGGCAACACAGTAGTAAGTCTACTAGAGCACATCTACATGAGAGGCTATGTCACTGTAGTAATGAGCTACAGAGACGTAGCTCATCGCTATGGTGATGTAGTGTCAATGGGCACGAACCGTGATCTGACACTACTGCACAGTAGCAATGAGTTACTGGGCAATAGCTCGTTGCTACCATGCAGTAGGGTCAGAAATGACCTATGCACCACCAGGTGGACTGCACAGTAACAGCGCTTAGCAGGTATTAAATGAGTGCACAGAAACAATTGTGCAGTCTGGCACACATGTAGATGCGCCCCCAGAGTCAGAAGTTAGCCTTTGAGGTCTTCAATCCAAGCTGAAGTTAATAGGAGCTAAGGGTCCAATAAGACTTTTGAGAACTCACACAGGTCCCTCAACAGATTACCAGGTCAGGCCAACTGAAAACATTTTGCTTCCAGAAATTGCTAACTTTTTGTAAAATTTGAACTTTGTTCTTGAATTGCCACATAAAACACATGATCCTTAACACACCCTAAATTCCTGCTATTTATAGTTGTCACAGGAAAAAGGCCCAAGACATGGTCCACAGATGTCAATGAGAGTCTTCCACTGGCTTCAGTGGTCCCTGGATCAAGCCCAGACTCATTTAGTCCATTGTAAATGAAACAGAGCTGGAAATAGGGTTCCTCTGAAAACATTAGTCTTTTCTCTTTGCTAAAATGTCCCCAAATTCCTTATAGTCAGCATAGCTTAAAGCCATCTTCTAAAGCAAGAAAATAAATCTACTCTTTCTATAATATAATGCTAGTAGGAAAAATATTTGGCTGAATCTTTAAGTGTGAAATATATTTTACACTAGAATAAAAGGAAAAACCTTCAAAATCTTGTAATATGAAAACAATGAACGCTTGGACTATCCAAGATTTTGCTCTTAAAAACAAAAAACCAACCAACCAACCAACCAAACAAAAAAACCACAACCAACCCTTCCCCCCCAAAAAATACCCAGACACGAGGTAACAAAAGAATCCACGAATACAGACATCACAGACATCTAAAAATAAGCATTTTATACATTTTTGCCAGTGCTTCTCTGAGAGCAAGTTCTTTAAACAGAACTTAACAATTTTACAATTTTTTTAAAAAAAAATATGTCATCCTAAAATTGCCATCGATCCTTAACCAAGCTTTCTGTATTTCTACAAAAATAGATGCACAAAGAGATACAAATACTGTATTCCTGAAAGGATGAGTGTAGTCGAGGCAGAATCTTCTCCTGACGATCAAAGCAGTTCATAAAAACATCAGGCTGAACAAAATACTGTAAGAGGAGCAAAAAAGGAGTTAGATTGCTCAGCTGCAGCAGGCTCAGATGAGGAAAGAGGGGAAAAATGCATTTTTTTTCTTCAATGTTCTGGGACCTAGAAATGGTCTTAAAGGAAAAGGCTCAATTGCAAAAGCATAATGGCTGGCTCTTCATCTTCCCTTCAGCAGAGAGTCCTTTGAAACAGTCAACCAGTGCAGTATCTCCATGCCAGCTGTGGGGATTCCAACTCTAGCTCGTGTTAAGCTATGTGTGAACTTCAGAACCAAGAAGATTCCTTGGTCTTCTCCTGGTGCTGTAGACCTACTTTTTGGGAAGGAAATAGACAATTAAAATGTAAACACTGATACCATTATTTCCTTGCCCTGAGAAAAAGAAACTTGCTTAAAATCCCTTATAAAAATAAATCTGCTAATCATCTGTTTACAGTACAATTGTATTGGTGGACTTGTTTATGATGCAGCTGCCTCTCAATTTAATTAAATGTTGTTTATTTCACAGCATAGAGGGAACTCTTCTAAGCTACATGACAGCCTTGGACAAACTTGCATAGCTCAGGAATGCTGACAAAGTCCTGTGTATGCTTAGCAAAACTGTATCTTTTTTTATTCTCATTTGGAAATGACCAGGCAGTAACCAGGCCCTTCAACAGTGTTGTAGTTGTAACATAAACAAGCAATTATGAAGTAGAATCTAGTTTTGATAGTATCATAAAAGCGGCCATGAAAAAAGCCCTACCTCTTAGAAAGTTAGGAATATTGTAGGCTCTCAGACATTTACAGCTTTTCACCTTTAAGGGCTGGGGGAGAAGAAATGTTCCACAGCAAGTGAAAAAAACGAATAATTTCACCTACAGCACATCAGCTTTTTGGCCAAGAAATCTTAGTGCTTCCACATGGGGAAAATAAATGATTTTCAGCTTACATTTGTTATACATTTCTCTGATATTTTCCTATATAAAAGTTAAGGACTATTGAATAAATATGCTGCTATGTTAGGGCTTTAACACTACAGCAATGGAATCTGTGCTGCAATTAGGGATTTCTCTTCTCCAGGGGGATTTATTTGATTTTGTTTGCATTCAAGCGAGGGCTAGCACTTAGAAAAGGCAATAAAATGTACAAAAAAGAAAACCATCCAAAAATATACTAGCCACTTTAGTTATGGCAAAAATATAGTTTCTATCCAACATTCTTAAAAGGTATTTAAGCACTTAATTCATATTGATTTCAAAGGGACTTTAACATTGCCTCATGACAAATATGCATTTCAGATCTTGAGTGGGGTGTTAGTATTGGCCAAGCACTTAGTTTATGAACAGTGCTCCTAAAGGATCTATTATCAATGCAGGTCCCAATTCAGCATTGATTTAAGCCGATATAAGTCTATTTGACTTCACTGGTGATGGACCCATTTAAGTTTAGGGATCCCTTCAGCCCTTAATCTACAAAAAATAAAAAGTCAAAAGATAACCCAACACCTTCATGTGTCAGGAATGGGGGTTGAAACCAATTTCCCTCAGACTGTACCTAATCCCTACAATTGCAATTCTTAGGTTTCAGACCTGCTCACGGATGTCCAAACTGGTTGCCCTCAAAATTATAATACAGCAATGGTGAAATAATGTTAAAAATGTCATGAGAACTGTGTATTTTCAACAAGACAATACTTGAGACTTAATTTTTATTTGCCTTAGCCTGAATCTAATCAGAACTGGATGCTTGGCCAAGGAATATAAACAGGTGAACACTGATCATTAGAAGCATCCTATAAAGCAATTTGTTAACACTAAAATAGCATTACATATTACACCATCCATCAGAGGATAATCAAAAGCTAGTTATATACATTGATGTGATCTGCAATTTACAGTTGGGGAAACTGAAACAAAGAACTGAAGTCGCTTGCTAGAGCTTGTGTTGATGTCAAAAATAGAAGCCAGATGGTCAAAGTCTCAGTCCTATAATTAAATCACTAGCCAAGCTCTGACCTCCAGCATAGCATAGGCGTGGCAAAAAGCATCTCACTGGGCATGTCTCCATGAGACATTTATTGCATAGCTGACTAATTAGCTAGTAAATGTTTCGGCATCTACACGTACTGAGGTAAATGAATTAATTCTGCAGCAGTGCATATGTAAATGCCTGCCAGCTAACCCTCCACTAAAGCTCCCTCGTGCCCCAGCCAGCCCCTTCACGGCACACCGAGTTGGGAGGAGCAGCCCTGGGCTAGCAGGCTGACCCATGGGGCCCTGTGCCAGCCAGGGCTGTTCCACCCAAGCTCCACATGTACACATATACACCTGAATAAACTGCAGAGATTATTGCTCTGGAGTTACTTGCTTCTGGGTGGACATTCAAATGGTGCAACCAGGAGCAATCAACTCTGGAGCAATAAGCTCTACAGTTTATTCAGGCACCATAACTGCATGTATAGATGTGCTCACAGTGAAGCTAAAGACTACTGGTCTCCAAATTCAAGGCCCAACTGCACAGATCAAGATAGAGCCCCAAGTGCTGGGATTCCACTGGCCACAATAATTTATTAGAGATTAAGATGGTAGCCGTCTGCCCAATTTTACAGCTTTACCACTAGGTTTTCATTGTTCCCTTAGGTGGGCAAAGTTTGGGCATTCAGGAGCTAAGACACCTATCAATCTGGGGGAATTTATTAGGAAGACATTGTCACTGTATTTAGATGGCAACTTTTGTATCCCTGGAAAAAAGATTGTAAATAATAGTTATTTTTTTTGTCAAGTTACTTCAATAACAGCTGGTGTAATTTTGTATTATTTTTCCCTCCTATTTGAAAAATAATTATACAAGAGGGAGTCATAAGACAAGTGTAAACAACTAAGAGGGTAAGGAAATAATTAAGCGCCCAAGTACTAAGAGCTACCAAGAAACACTAAAAGTGGATGTGAGGGGGAAAGAG